AAGTCCTCCAACAGTCTCTGTCTGTGTGCTGGGGGTAGATCACTCGCAAACCCCCAGAGTACACAGCCTTGATCTTCAGACAACTCGTGTCTTCACATGAAGTATGGTTTCAGTGCTTCATTCAGCTTGGCCACCCATTTACAGTGTAACTCCACACTTTGCTGAGTAGCGGATCTTTTCTTGTACTTTGCTCAATGTCTTTTGCACACACTGGCAGCTCATCCACTTGTGAGAAGTAAAACATGCTTCCCTCCTCAGCTGTGATGTCTTTCTCTTCTCTTGGTAGTCTTGACAACACCGTCTGCAAGCTGCCACCAACCTCCTGTGGCACGGGCTATGTGTCCAACGTTAGAACAGACATGGCATTTCTCTTATTTTTTTTCTGCAATCACGAGCAGAATGTTTTCCTCCGCACCTGTAGCATGGTTGCTGACCAACATTATCTTGCCTTGTCATTTTTTAAATACTGTTTCTCTCCATTGTCATTGCTGCACGGTGCATTGTCCTTTTCCTCTCCTGGGAAATGTTTTATCATTTTTATTCACTGCATTTACTGATTGAGCCTCTTGCTTTCCCTGAAAACTCCCTGGTGTTCTTGGAAGCTAACTCCATTGATAATGCCATCTCACATGCCTTTCTGAATGTTAGATTATTCTCTGCTAGCATCTTGTGCTGCATAGCTTCAGAGCACAGTCCACTTCCAAACTGATTTCTCAGTGCCGCAGCAAAGCCACAGCATAATCTGGTTAAATTTTTTAGAACGAAACCGCTCCGCAATCACCAGCGGTTTTGGTTTGTAGTGAGCTAGCAACACTAGTTTCAGTTCGTCATACTGCAACATACTTGGTGTATCAGGTGTGATCATACTCTTTAATATTTCACACATTTCCGCACCGATCACAGAAAGAAACACACAGACCTTCTTGTTGTCTTTAATGTAATTTGCTAACATTTATTGCTCCAAACGCTCAACATAATTTTCTAAATCCTCCCGCTATTCTCTGTACTCGTCCTACTTGCATAGTAGCCATTTTTCCATCGCTACTGTTATCTCGGCTAATATCCTCAGCAGTAGCTAGCTCACGTGCCTCGGTCCGTGAAATATCCGTTTCTTCTGTATTTTCTTCCTGCCAGGTGCACGGCTGCTCCATTTACAATCCACACGTTTGTTCTTTTGAATCCACCGTCGCCATTTTTGTAGTCTTTTTGGTTTTATCACCTATAGAATAACTAATAATAACTGGACAGGAGTGAGGAACTCCGTTGGGAAATGTACTAATCCAAAACATGGTAGTACAACACAGACATGTTCGAGGCAGTACGTTCTATCAACGTATCAAAATTAAGAGGTCACAGGATTAACCAATCAGGTAAGTGATAATCGTATCTAGGCAGATTACCATGTTAATAGACCAATCTATTACACTATTGGTTTTCATATCAACTTTCTTTCATGGTCCAGAAGCCAAAGGCACATTCCGAATCATATTAGCAACCCATCATAGTTGTTGCTATTACATTCCCCCTCTTTCTAAATTTCTAATGGAGATTTTAATCTCTGTCACAACTGCTCGCAATAGTATCAGAGGAAGAGGCAAAGCGAGAGGTTTCACTCTCGCCAAAATCAGTCCAAAATAAGACCAATATGTTTCTATGGGTTTATTTTGGGCCTAAGCTTGTCGCCTGCCTTCCCACCTTGGGCCGACTCCCATTGTTAGTGCGGAAACATAAGCATCTCGTCATTATATACAGATCTCTAATAGCATTTTCTGTTGGTCATGTCATTTGACTGTTTTGATTTTTTTTACTGTTTGTTGACGGGTTAATGAGGGTTAGTTAGTCGGCAGCAAAATTGACCGAAATGTGCATCCCTAATTAATAGGCCTACCTACTCTATTAAAATATATTCATCTTACCGTATTTCTCCAATGCCAAACCAGTGTGTCTTGTTTGCAACAAAACTTGCCTTTTACAAATAATTCAATCTGAGAATCATGGTACCTTTCAAAAGTAGATTTTTCACCCCAGACATGAGGCCCGAGTCCGACGCAGAAAGGAGGTAGGCCTATTTAAAGAGTGCATGGTGACCGTAATGGAGGAAATGGCTATACCGACAAATACACTGTATATGGATAACATAATTGCGTCTGTCAAACAGGTATAAGCCTACCTCTTATTTCTTAGTGCTTCAACAAAGTCCTCTGTTAGTAAATTAGCCTACTTAACTTTTATCACCGGCGCTGTCCATATTGATTTTAGAAATAGTGATCCACACGGGAGTGGTGGCTGCATTTCAGCTCATCTTTTTTCAAATGTATTCAATTATATTCCATTCTCTTGTTTTTATCATGGACATATTCCCACTAATATTGTAATGAAGCTTTCACGTGTGTTATGCACTTTTTTATCAAACTGTTGGCGCTTGCTTCTATTTATGCCAAATCATTTGACTGCTGTAGGTTGAGATTCTTGTTTTAGAATGTTATTCTTTTACAATTTTCTGTAGTGACTAGAGAAGACCATATACCCATCACATTATGTTAATGAGGTCCCCGTGTGTGTGTAACTTAAATGTGTATTTGGGTCTGGATTGGGAATGTGTGAAACGTATAAATGAGAGAACGAAGCCAATCAATCTTATCGTATAAGTTCTTTCAGTTTATAAGCTATCGCTCGTCATGCCATGAGGGAGAAAATAACACCAGCAGTAAATGTTGATTCATTGATTGAATGAAACTATATCAATGTATTTGAGTCATGACTCATTGAATCATGTCTTGTAAGAATGGCGCCTGAGGAGATGGCTGCCGTTTTACGGGCTCCTAACCAATTGTGCTATTTTGTGTGTTTTTTCACGTTGTTTGTAAATTATTTTCTACATAATGTTTCTGCCACCATCTCTTATGACCGAAAAGAGCTTCTGGTATCAGAACAGCGATTACTCACCTCGAACTGGATGAAGATTTTTTCTTTAACGAGTCAAAGGATTTACTGCGGATACCGGACCAGGTCCAAATACCCTTCATTTGCATTAAGAAGAGACACCGGTACAGGGGATGCAGGTCTGGGTGCCTTGTGAGAATTCGTTGGCGAGTGGGTAACCCGCCTCTACCATCCGTCCTATTGGCCAACGTGCAATCATTGGAGAATAAACTGGATGAGCTCCGTTCGAGACTAACCTACCAACGGGACATTAAAAACTGTAACATCTTATGTTTCAACGAGTCGTGGCTGAACGACTACATTGATAATATACAGTTGGCTGGGTTTTCCGTGCATCGGCAAGACAGAACTGCTACCTCCGGTAAGACAAGGGGTGGTGGTCTGTGTCTATTTGTCAATAACAGCTGGTGGGTGAAATCTAATATTAAGGAAGTCTCAAGGTTTTGCTCGCCTGAGGTAGAGTATCTCATGATAAGATGTAGGCTACACTATTTACCAAGAGCAAAATATTTTTCGTAGCTGTCTGTTTTCCACCACAAACCAATGCTGGCACTAAGACCACACTTAATGAGCTGTATAAGGCAATAAACAAACAAGAAAATGCTCACCCAGAGGCGGCGCTCCATTTTCTACCAGCATGTCACATGTGCAACCAGAGGAAAAAAAACTCTAGACCATCTTTACTCCACACACAGAGACGCGTACAAAGCTCTCCCTCGCCCTCTATTTGGCAAATCTGACATAATTCTATCCTCCTGATTCCTGCTTACAAGGGAACACTAAAGCAGGAAGTACCAGTGACTTTCTCAATACGGACGTGGTGAGATGACGCAGATGCTAAGCTACAGAACTCTTTTGCTAGCACAGACTGGAATATGTCGGACTACCAGGATGTGCACTCAGAGCATGCGCTGACCAATTGGCAAGTGTCTTCACTGACATTTTCAACCTGTCCCTGACTGAGTCTGTAATACATATATGTTTCAAGCAGACCACCATAGTCCCTGTTCCCAAGAACACCAAGGTAACCTGTCTAAATGACTACCGACCGATAGCACTCACGTCTGTAGCCATGAAGTGCTTTGAAAGGCTGGTCATGGCTCACATCAACACCATCATCCCAGAAACCCTAGACCTTCTCCAATTCGCATACCGCCCCAACACCTAAGTGAGAATGCTGTTCATTGACTACAGCTCAGCGTTCAACACCATAGTGCCCTCAAAGCTCATCACTAAGCTAAGGACCCTGGGACTAAACACCTCCCTCTGCAGCTGGATCCTGGACTTCCTGACGGGCCTCCACAGGCGGTAAGGGTAGGCAACAAGACATCTGCCACACTGATCCTCAACACAGGGGCCACTCGGGTGCGTGCTTAGTCCCCTCCTGTACTCCCTGTTCACCCACGACTGCATGGCCAAGCACGACTCCAACACCATCATTAAGTTTGCTGATGACACAACAGTGGTAGGCCTGATCACCTACAACGATCAGACCGCCTATAGGGAGAAGGTCAGAGACCTGGATGTGTGGTGCCAGGACAACAACCTCTCCCTCAATGTGATAAAGACAAAGGAGATGATCGTGGAATGACAACGCCTATTCCCCCTCAGGAGACTGAAAAGATTTGGCATGGGTCCTCAGATCCTCAAAAAGTTCTACAGCTACACCATCGAGAGCATCCTGCCTGGTTGCATCACCGCCTGGTATGGCAACTGCTCGGCCTCCGACCTCAAGGCGCTACAGAGGGTAGTTCATACGGTCCAGTAAATCACTGGGGCCAAGCTTTCTGCCTTCCAGGACCTCTATACCAGGCGGTGTCAGAGGAAGGCCCTAAAAATTGCCAAAGACTCCAGCCACCCTAGTCATAGACTGTTCTCTCTGCTACTGCACGGCAAGTGGTACCGGGTCCAAAAGGCTTCTTAACAGCTTCTACCCCCAAGCCATAAGACTGCTGAACCGCTAATCAAATGGCTACCCGGACTATTTGTATTGCCCCACATTTGATTACAAGCATGAGGGGTAGCTGGCTGCTAGATCATTTACTACTGAACAGATTATGGTACAGAGGTATAGTTTTAGTGTGTGCTATAACAATAATGGCTTATTGATTTGTTTTTCCATGATGTGTTTTTGGAAATGCCTTATTATAATTGTCTGCCACTCACTTCTTTTCTAGATCTGATTACAGTAAGATGACATCATCAAGCAGTAAGTATTATACCATTTGTATCACTGATGATGGTTTCTTTTGCACATGCATGTTGTTGGTGTCTCTTCTGATATGGACAATATTCTGTTCAAACTGACTGTCTTATTCTGTAATGTCAGTGGAAGGGTTTTTCTTCAGTTTCATTGTGATTCTTATGTCTTCTTGGTTCATACCTCCCTAACCCTGATCCTCTGTGGCTGTGTTGTCAGATGAGCTTCTGGCCAGTCGGGTCCAGGAGCCCCTGATGATGAGCATGCACCTGCTGGCCAACCCTGGGGACTCGCTCCTGCTGCAGCACACCCTGGACCGCCTCCTCCGCTGGGTGTGCCCCAGCCTGCGCCTCTTCCACGTCTCTGAGCGGGCCTGCCCCCTCCGCGACTACGCCCGCTCCCGCCTGTGCCCCGTGTCCGGGTACCCCTCCCTGGCTGTGACCGTCTTCCTCCATGAGGCCTACGGCGAGGAGCGCATCCTCCGGGTGCTGGACTTCCTGCAGCGCCCACCCTGGCAGTACCACCACACGGAGAGCTGCGGCGGGAGGACCGGGGGCGTCCACATCACCTCCTCCACCTCCCCGGCGAACGCCCTGCTCCGTCCCTACCTCCTGCCCAGCCGAGACTTCTACAGCCTGGGCACGGGGATGCCCGTGTGGGGGGTGCGCCCGGTGCACTGCGGCGGGGAGATGCTGCGGGTGACGCTCTACAGCGGCTACGATAACTTTGACGACGCGGTGCGGCTCTACGAGACGGTGCTGCAGAGGCAGGCGGAGGAGCAGAAGCCGGGGTTCTGTTGGTTCACGCTCTACACGGAGCCGGGGCTGTGTCTACAGCTGGCTCTCAAACAGCTCTCCCCAGGGGTCAGGGTGGAGGCCTGCAACTCAGCCGTGCTGCAGTTCAGGGTGGAGGAGATGGGTCAGCTCGTGCCACTGCTGCCGAATCCGTGCACGCCCATCAGTGCCACGCGCTGGCAGACCGAAGACCTGGACGGGAACAAGATACTCTTCCAGGTATTTTAATTGACATGACACTATTTCCTATATTGCACTAGGGTACTTTTATTCAGACTCCTATGTGGCTCTGTGGTCAGAGGTAGTGCAAGTAATATATATAGAGGAAATGAGCTACCGTGTATTTTATGATTTACCTTTTGTCTTACCTTCGCCACACTGTGTCTTCTCGCTCCATTCTGTCCCTACATTTAAACGATGAGACGTGCCAAGCCCAGTTGTTTCTTGAGATGGACATATGTTTGGGTTTAGAGTTGGGGTAAATGTTTAGCTGCTATGTGAAACCTCTGTGGTTTCTGCCCCCTGAGGAGCTATTGGAAGCAATCCTCTATGGCTGTGAAAACACCAGAGGCGGCTGGTGGGAGGAGCTGAGGACAGGCTCATTGTAATGGCTGGAATGGAATCAATGGAATGGTATCAAACAAATGGAAACAATGTGTTTGACTCCGTTCCATTGATTCCATTCCAGCCATTACAATGAGCCCGTCCTCCTATAGCTCCTCCCACCCAACTCCTCTGGAAAACACGTAGCTCTGGATGAAGTTACTCTATGATTATCTTTTGGCTACAGTAAGACTGCTGTTCTGCATTCAGGCTGATTGTCTTGTAAAACATCAGGTTCAAGAGTGGGCCAGTAGTAGAAGAATGTAAATACAGTGTGCGTGTGCAGCACAGAGATACAGTGAGCTCCAGCACTTTGGATTTGAAATGATACAATGACCACGAGGTTAAAGTGCAAACTGTCAGCTTTAATTTGAGGGTATTTTCATCCATATCGGGTGAACCGTTTAGAAATGACAGCACTTTTTGTACATAGTGCCCACATTTTAGGAGACCAAACGTATTGGGACAAATTCACTGATGTGTATTAAAGTAGTCAAAAGTGTAGTATTTGGTCCCATATTCATATATCAAGCTTGTGACTACAAAACGTGTCACTGTCCCAATACATTTGGAGCTCACGGTAGATCACTGCACTGCTTTCCCCTACTCAGATATAAATGCACAGAAAGATGGCCTCCAGGCATCCTCGGGTTTTATACAGTATCAAACACTCTCATTTACCTTTCCTTCACGAGATGTTGGCCAGTAAATGGAAAACACTCCAAGCCAAAGCTGTGTTTAGGAAGGCAAAGCATCAAATGGTTAACATTGAAACATGCTTTCCCCATTGCAACACTGTATAAATGCATAGTAACTTTGAGAGGCATTAATCGTCCGAATGGGCTGGATACAAGCTAAGATTTTGGTTGTCAATCTTAAAGCTGCAATATGTAATTTTATGGCCGACCCGACCAAATTCACATAGAAATAGGAGTTATAGATCTGTCATTCCCATTGAAAGCAAATCTAAGAAGCAGTTCTATGTGCTTCCCGTGCTTAAGTTTAGTTTTTGTGTCTTTTACTTTTGTTTTTGTTCACCAGCTGAAAATACAATATTTTGGTTATGGAAATTATATTTAATTGCTTGTTGTTTTGTCACAGAAACTGAAATTAGGCGAACTATTAGAATTTTTGCAACCAGGAAATGGCAGAATGATTTCTGCACAGTGCATCTTTAATTGGAACTTAGGTTTGTTGTTTTTCCTGTCTCTGTGGGCTCCATGATTGTTGAACCCTCCATTCCTTTCACCTCAAGTCTTCCAGAGAAAGTTAAGACTGTCAGTCTCTGTCCCCCAGGTGAAAGCCCCAGAGCAGCCTCAGCGACCCCTGACCTGTGCCTTCCCTCTGACATGCCCCAGCGTCTCGCCCAGAGGGCTACTGAGGAGCGTCGTGTCCGCCTCGCCCCCAGCAGCCCACGCCCTGCAGCCCTGCGGCCAGATGACTCCAGTGACCCGGCCGGGGAACAGGGCGCGCACCGACCCAGGCCTGGATAGGCCTGTCTTACCCGGGGGTCTGCGGTGTGGGGGAGGGGGGGAGAGCATGGGCTCAGACAGCTGCTACAGCACCCCTCCAGGCAGCTCCTGCTACTCGTCGCAGCGCAGCAGCCCCGCCACGCTATCCGTCAACCACCCCCACGACTCTTCCCCTCTCTCATGCTCCGCCTCCCCGGCGCGGCCCTCCCTGTCCATCTCCCACCTGCTGCTGGAGGAGGAGGAAGAGCCGGAGACCAATGTGGACACGGGCGTCCCCGTGACGACGACCCCGTGCTCGGACACAGACTTCACCATGGCGACCAGCTCGAGGGACACAGGCGTCTCGGTGAAACCGCGTTCCGAGAGACCAGCCGCTGTGGGGGCCTCTGCCCTGGAGAGCCTGGCGAGAGAGCTGAGTGCCTGTCTACCGGATGCTCACACACCTCCACCCCACCACAGGACTTGGGTTGTGAGCAGCCCTACCAAAGCTGCCAGCCCCGGGTGCAAGGTAGGGTCACAAGCCTGGGACAGCAGTGTTATCAGCTGGGCATCGCCGGGTCAGAGCCACTCCAGAGGGCCTGTGGGGCCACGGACTCCTGCTAAGCCAGCAGCAAAGGCTCTGTTGTCACCCACACACAATACAGACCCAATAGATGAGTTCTTCATCTGACTCCTTTCTGCAGTGTGGCAGGCAGGCAGTTGTAGGACATTTTGTCACCATCTAACATAATGTAACTTGATGTTCCCTCCCTCCAGAGAGAGAGACGGGGAAGCTCATTGAAACCACGGAGACACAAGGGACCTAACTTCCTGGTGCTAAGACTGTCATGCCAGTCTAGGTCTGCATCCAAAATGTCACCCTATTCCCTATGTAGTGCTGGTGGGCTCTAGTCAGAAGTAGTGCGCAATATAGGGAATAGGGTGCCCTTTTGGACGCAAACTAGCTAGGCTAGGATAGGGTTGAAGCCTATAGTAAATGAAACTGTTACGCCCAGGGATTTCAGATAAACAATTATTGTATTAACTAACTAAGCTACTATGCATTTTATTACCAGTGGAAGTAGAAATGGATTCAAATATGTGCCACGAGTGGGTAGATAAATGTGTGTGTGTGTGTGTGTGTGTGTGTGGTTGGTAAGTTGTTGTGGTTGTCTGTGCACTGTGGAAGCTTATCTGTGTGGTATCAGAGGGATAGCGTATCTCTAGCTGACCTAAATCCTTACCCCAAGAAAGCACTGTCTATTGGGTCTGACTCCTGGGTCAGAGGTTAGTATTGGACAGTATCATTATCCTATTTTTCTAGGATTAACACAAATGGTATTTCAACAATGACTGTTGTGTCTTCTAATACTATACTAAACCATAGGTTGTGTTGAGGAGACCTTGCCAAACCACTGTGTTGAAAGGACACTACACATTTTGATAAGACATAAATACTATGGGAGCTGATAATTCATATATTTTCAGGAAACCTTTTCGTAAAGCTGTTTGTTTCAAGGACTGTGGTTAGGCTACATATTTTTGTAATCTGTGTATTCAAAGATGGATTGAAGACTAGAATACAACGAAGGACTAGAGAGCTAAGAGATACTGCTTGTCTGAGATGATACTGTATAAATGTATTAAGTGTTGGCTGACATTACCATGGGGCCTTGTAAGGCTGTCTATAACCTAGCGCTAGACAATGTTTACCAAACTGATCGTCTAGAGGCCGGTTTCTTAGACAGATTAGCCTAAACCTGGACTAAAAAGCGCTTTCAATGGAGAATCTCCATTGAGTGCCTTTTAGTCCAGGACTAAGCGTAATCTGTGTCTGGGGAAACCATCCCTTAATAATTTAATGAGTTTATAAAGAGGTGAGTTGTGAAATAGGACGGTTGTTGTTTAATCATGTTGTTTTTTATATTATGAACCTGCATTATGCATCACTAAATTATTTTTGACTATTCTGACTAATTTGGGAATATACTGTCATTTGTTTCAGATTGTTCTTAAGACATTATGATGATATGTTGGTGAATGTAACTCCAATACCTTTGTACTGATTCATTGGGTACCATCTATTGAGCCCTGTTTATACCTGGTGCTAACATCTGTACGGATCTCGTCCACATTCTGATTGTGCCCACATTTTTAGACAGGCGTAGACTATTAAAATAACTGATTGTGATCAGATCTTATATAGATCTTCCTGACCACCTCCGGAGGTAGTCGGGACAAATTGATTGGTTGGATAAAAGCTCAGTGGGCAGAGTTTGGTAATGAGGATGTTAGTGCTGGTCCGGGTGGGCGGAGTTTGCACTGGGTGAAAAGTGATTGCATTTGTTTTGAAACCGGCCTGTCCCACCAGTCATGATGAGCCGGGTGCCCCATTCAAAGCCGATGGTGAAGTTGGCTCAAAACAAAGTGATGTAAGCCTGTGTCAAGCACGTGGAGTAATGACTTAGGGCTGGATTCAATCTGTATCGCAGAAGTATTGCGGAATATCCGGAATATAGCTCAATTAAAATTAAAGGCGATATTCCCACGTTCGCGGAGACTGCATTCACGGTAAACGCTGCATATGTTGGCTCAATCGGAAACTACCTTTACATTTTAACACGGATCTTCCGCGATACATATTTAATCCACCCCTTAGGAGTATTTACATGCAAAAGTGTTGTTCGCTCTTGATAAATCCCAATGCAACTTTATAATCTAGGCTACTGATATAGGAAATGACTAACTCACTGACCTTTTAAAAAAAAAAAAGATATATATTGTTATGGTGCCCTCTCCCTTACTAGCACAGAAGGTCACAGGTTATAATCTTGCCGATGCCTTTTCTCAAAAATATGTATATTTATTGGGGAACTAAACTAGGAATATTCTTGGTTTAGTATCAGCAACACTGACGGCTAAGTATACATTTGGATTAGGTCAGTTTCAGGAGACAAAATGTCTTATACAGTACTCTACATTTTATAAGTCTGCAATGAAATAATTTAACCACTGGAAGGCAGCAGTGTTCCAACTAAGTTATATCTGTATCTCGCACGCGGTTTTATAAAAATAAATAATTTTTACTATCTCAAAAAAGTTAATTACACATTCAGTTGGTTTTGTTGAATATCTGAAATGTACAAGTGTAATACCAAAGCATAAACATTCTTAAGAAATCTTTAAGAAGACAAAGCTTAAGCGTACAGTGCATTCAGTGTTCAGACCCCCTGACTTTCCACATATTATTCTAAAATGTATACAATTATTTTTTCCCCCTCATCAATCTACACACAATACCCCATAATGACAAAGCGAAAACAGGTTTTTAGAAATGTTTGCAAATGTGTTAAATAAAAGACAGAAATACCTTATTTACTTAAGTATTCAGACCCTTCGCTATGACTCAATTGAGCTCAGGTGCATCCTGTTTCCATTGATCATCCTTGAGATATTTCTACAACTCGATTGGAGTCCACCTGAGGTAAATTCAATTGATTGGACATGATTTGGAAAGGCACGCACCTGTCTATATAAGGTCCCACAGTTGACATTGCATGTCAGAGCAAAAACCAAGCCATGAGGTCGAAGGAATTGTCCGTAGAGTTCCGAGACAGGATTGTGTCGAGGCACAGATCTGGGGAAGGGTACCAAAAATTTTCTGCAGCATTGAAGGTCCCCAAGAACACAGTGGGCTCCATCATTCTTAAATGGAAGTAGTTTGGAACCACCAAGACTCTTCCTACAGCTGGCCGCCCAGCCAAACTGAGCAATCGGGGGGAGAAGGACCTTGGTCAGGGAGGTGACCAAGAACCCGATGGTCACTATGACAGAGCTCTAGAGTTCCTCTATGGAGATGGGAGAACCTTCCAGAAGGACAACCATCTCTGCAGCACTCCACCAATCAGGCCTTTATGGTAGAGTGGCCAGACGGAAGCCACTCCTCAGTAAAAGGCACATGACAGCCCATTTGGAGTTTCCCAAAAGGCCCCTAAAGGACTCTCAGACCATGAGAAACAAGATTCTCTTGTCTGCTGAAACCAAGATTTAACTATTTTGCCTGAATGCCAAGTGTCACATCTACAGGAAATCTGGCACCATCCCTACGGTGAAGCATGGTGGTGGCAGCATCATGCTGTGGGGATGTTTTTCAGCGGCAGGGACTGGGAGGGAAAGATGAACGGAGCAAAGTACAGAGAGATCCTTGATGAAAACCTGCTCCAGAGCGCTCAGGACCTCAGACTGGGGTAAAGATTCACCTTCCAACAGGACAACAACCCTAAGCACACAGCCAAGACAACGCAGGAGTGGCTTCGGGACAAGTCTCTGAATGTCCTTGAGTGGCCCAGCCAGAGCCTGGACTTGAACCCAGTCAAACATCTCTGGAGAGACCTGAAAATAGCTGTGCAGCGACGCTCCCCATCCAACCTGACAGAGCTTGAGAGGATCTGCAGAGAAGAATGGGAGAAACACCCCAAATACAGGTGTGCCAAGCTTGTAGCGTCATACCGAAGAAGACTCAAGGCTGTAATCGCTGCCAAAGGTGCTTCAACAAAGTACTGAGTAAAGGGTCTGAATACTTATGTGATATTTCAGTTTCTTTATTTGTTATAAATTTGCTAAAAAAATCTAAAAACCTGTTTTTGATTCGTCATTATGGGGTATTGTGTGTAGATTGTGTGTAGATTGATGAGGGGCTGTAATGTAACAAAATGTGTTAATAGTCAAGGGGTCTGAATACCTTCCGAATGCACTGTATTGTACACTCACAAGCCAGTTTAGTAGGTACACCCATCTAGTACTGGTTCGGACCCCCCTTTGCCTCCAGAAGAGCCTGAATTCTTCAGTGCATTCTACAAGGTGTCAGAAACGTTCCACAGGGATGTTGGTCCATGCTGACGCGATGGCATCAAGCAGTTGCTGCAGACTGACTGGACAGCGGTACGTTCATGCTATGAACAGCCTGTCCCAAAGATGCTCTATTGAGTTGAAGTCTGGGGACTGCGCAGGCCACTGAAGTAAACTGAACTCGCTGTCATGTTCCAGGCAATGTTTTTCCACTCCTCAATTGTCCAGCGTTGGGGATCGCGTGCCCACTGGAGCCGCTTCTTCTTGTTTTTAGATGATAGGAGTGGAACCCAGTGCCATCCGTGACGAGGATCGACAAGTTGTGCGTTCCAAGATGCCGTTCTGCACACCACTGTTGTACTGCGCCATTATTTGTCTGTTTGTGGCCCACCTGTTAGCTTGCAAGATTCTTGCCATTCTCCTTCGACCTCTCTCATCAATGAGCTGTATTCACCCACAGGACTGCCGCTGACTGTTTTTTGTTTGTTTGTCGCAACACTCTTGGTAAACCCTAGACACTGTTGTGCATGAAAAGCCCAGGAGGGCAGCCATTTCTGAGATACTGGATCCGGCGCGCCTGGCACCGACGATCATACTACGCTCAAAGTCACTTCGGTTACTCGTTTTGTCAATTCTAACGTTTAATCAAACAACAACCAAATGCCTCGATGCCTGTCTGCATACTTTATATAGCAAGCCACGGCCATGTGACTCAGTGTCTGAAGGAGCGATCCATTTTCGTGAACAGGGTGATGTACAGTGCCTTGCAAATGTATTCATCCCCCTTGGCGTTTTTTTTGTTGCATTATAACCTGTAATTAAATGGATTTTTATTTGGATTTC